AAAGCAAAGGGATAAGAAATTACTTTAGAAAACCAGTGATACATGAGATATATATAAATGTGTGTGTGTGTGAGTTAGAAATAAGATACTTAAAATGAAGTTATAAGATGGAATATCTAGCAGGATGATTATATCAATGAATAAAAGAATAAACTGGGAGATCAAGTTAGGAGCCTTCCAAGGGGCAACAGAAATGAATAAAGATATAGAAAATATAAAAGAAAGGCTAAAAAATCAGAACACAATTATCAATATCTAGATAATACAAATCCCCAAAAGGAATTGAGGGGCCATATAGTGCAGGACACATAAAGGAAATATCTAGACACACTATATTAAAATTACAGAAGAGAAAATGCAAGAGAAATCATGAAACGATGCCACACAAAAAGTAAACCACCCACAAAGGGACCAAAATTAGGCCAACGTGAGACTTCTCAACAGTAATACTGGATCCAAGAAACAACAGAGTAATATGCTTGTGCTTAACATTTTTTAAGCAACTTTTACTGTGAAGTATACCCTATAAACATAATAAATGTGCATAAAACACAAATATGACACATGAAGAAAATTAAAGAGCAAACAGCAAGGTAACCATTACTCAGGTTAAGAATATTGCTGTTCACTTATGAAAGTATCTGTAGAAATCACAGTTGATTTTGTCTATTTTGAACTTTATAAATGAACCTATACTGTATGCATCCTTTTGTCTATTATTTCTCTTATATTATGATTAAAAATTATCAATACTTATCATATTGTAGTTTCTTTTGCTATATAGAATTTATCACACTTATTTTTCTATCTTTTGTTGATGGACAATTAGATTTTTTCCTAGTTTGAGCTATTACAAATAATACTGTTAGGGATGTTTTCGTATACAAATCTTGAGAGACATGGGCTGGAGTTCCTAGGGATTATGTCCAGGAATGACACTGCTGGATTAGAAGAATTACACATTTCGACATTTCAGATAATGCCAGAGTGGTTTCCCAAAGTGAATAAAGAAACAGAAGCTTGCTCTTTGAGGTCTAGAATAAAACAATGATGTCTACCACTTCATGCTTTTAACATATTAAGGAATACTGTTCTATTCCTATTTACACATATTTATAAAATCTAAAAAATCTGGGTTTATAATTTTAACATTAGCAGATATTTGAGTAAGCATTTTAAAAGATAATGATTTGAATAGTTGTTTTCTATTCCTCTGTATCAGTTTTAAGATATATGTTTTTCTAAAAATGTGTCCATTTTATTTAAATTTATTTGGTCATAATATCCTCTTATGCTTGCATCACCTGAAGTGATATCACCTGTTTCAGTTTTGATAATGTATAATTGGGTCTTCTTTAAGTTTTTTGAGTAGCCCTGTAGGAATGCATCAATATTACTGTTTTTTAGAAGAAAATAAATTTTTACATTCATGTTCACATTATGTATATTTTTTCAATTTCAATAATTTCTGCTCTTCATTCTCTTCCACCTTTCTTTTTAATTTCTCTTGTTGCCTTTTGCTTGTTTCTAATCAGCATTTCCTGTTCTCTAACATTTATGTATGTGTAATAAGTTGTTTCAGTCGTGTCTGAACTTTTGGAACGCTATGGATTGTAGCCTGCCAGGCTCCTTTGTCCATAGCATTCTCCAGGCAAGTATACTGGAGTGAGTTGCTTCTTCCTTCTCCAGGAGATGTTCCCAATCTGGGATTGAACTTGTGTCCCTTACATCTCCTGCATTGGCAGGAAGGTTATTGCTAGCACCACCTTGGATTGAAGCTCTAATGCTTACATTAAAAGAGCTAATTGCTACCTCAGATGTATCTCACAAATCTGGATAAGTAGTACTTTTGTTATCTTTCAGCCCCCAATATTTTTTAATTTACATATGATTTCTTGCCACCTCCTGTCTGACCACTTCCAATTTACCTAGATTCATGGACCTAACAGGAGATGGCAAGAATGAACATCAACATTTTAGGAGTCAATGAACTAAAATGGACAAGAACAGGCAAATTTAATTCAGATGATCATTTTATCTACTACTGTGGGCAAGAATCCCTTAGAAGAAATGGAGTAGCCCTCACAGTCATCAAAAGAGTCTGAAATGCAGTTCTTGGGTACAATCTCAAAAACAACAGAATGATCTCCGTTTGTTTATAAGACAAATCATTCAATATCACAGTAAACCAAGTCTACGCCCCACACACTAATGCCAAAGAAGCTGAAGTTGAACAGTTCTATGAAGACCTATAAGAACTTCTAGAACTAACACCAAAAAGAGATGTCCTTTTCAACATAGGGGACTGGAATGCAAAAGTACGAAGTCAAGAAACACCTGGAGAAACAGGCAAATTTGGCCTTAGAGGATGGAATGAAGCAGGCCAAAGTCTAATAGAGTTTCGCCAAGAGAACGCGCTTGTCAGAGCACACACCTCTTCCAACAACACAAGAGACGACTTTACACGTGGACATCACCAGATAGTCAATACTGAAACAGACTGATTATATTCTTTGCAGCCAAAGATAAAGAACCTCTGTACGGTCAACAAAAACAAGACCGGGACATGACTGTGGCTCAGATCGGGAGCTCCTTACTGCCAAATTCAGACTTCAGTTGAAGAAAAAAAACAACTAGGCCACTGAGGTATGACATAAATCAAATCCTTTATGATTATACAGTGGAGGTGATGCATAGATTCAAGGTATTAGATCTGATAGACAGAGTGCCTGAAGAACTATGGACAGAGGTTCATGACATTGTACAGGAGACAGGGATGAAGACCATCCCCAAGGAAAAGAAATGCAAAAAGGCAAAATGACTGTCTGAGGAGGCCTTAACCAAATAGCTGAGAAAAGAAGAGAAGTGAAACACAAAGGAAAGATATCCCCATCTGAATGCAGAGTTCCAGAGAATAGCAAGGAGAGATAAGAAAGCCTTCAAAGTGATCAATGCAAAGAAATAGAGGAAAACACTAGAATGGGAAAGACTAGAGATCTCTTCAAGAAAATCAGAGATACCAAGGTAACATTTCATGCAAAGATCACTACAATTAAGGACAGAAATGGTATGGACCTAACAGAAGCAGAAGATATTAAGAAGAGGCAGCAAGAATACACAGAACTATACAAAAAAGATCTTCATGACTCAGATAACCATAATGGTGTGATCACTCACCTGAAGTCATACATCCTGGAGTGCATGCAAAGTCAAGTGGGCATTAGGAAGCATCACTACAAACAAAGATAGTGGAGGTGATGGAATTCCAGTTGAGCTATTTCAAATCCTAAAAGATGATGCTGTGAAAGCGCTGCACTCAATATGCCAGCAAATTTGGAAAACTCAGCAGTGGCCACAGGACTGGAAAAAGCCAGCTTTCATTCCAACCCCAAAGAAAAGCAATGTCAAAGAATGTTCAAACTACCACACAATTGCACTCATCTCACATGCTAGTGATGGAGAAGGAAATGACAACCCACTCCAGTATTCTTGCCTGGAGAATCCCAGGGACAAAGGAGCCTGGTGGGCTGCTGTCCATGGGGTCACATGGGGTCACACAGAGTCGGACACGACTGACATGACTCAGCAGCAGCAGCAGCACATACTAGTGAAGTAATGCTCAAAATTCTTCAAGCCAGGCTTCAACAGTATGTGAGCTGAGAACTTCCAGATGTACCAGTTCTGGATTTATAAAAGGCAGAGGAACCAGAGTTCAAATTGCCCACATCTGTTGGATAAGAGAAAAAACTAGAGAATTCCAGAAAAACTGCTTCATTAACTACACTAAAGCCTTTGACTGTGGGGATCACAACAAACTGTGGAAAATTCTTAAAGAGATGGGAATACCAGACCACCTGACCTGCCTCCTGAGAAACCTGTTTGCAGGTCAGGAAGCAACAGTTAGAACTGGACATAGAACATTGGACTGGTTCAATATTGGGAAAGGAGAATGTCAAGGCTGTATATTGTCATCCTTCTTATTTAACTTCTGTGCAGAGTAAATCATGGGAAATGCTGGACTGGATGAAGTTGGAATCAAGATTTTTGGGAGAAATATCAATAACCTCAGATATGCAGATGACACCACCCTTACAGCAGAAAGTGAATTAAAGATCCTCTTGATAAAGGTGAAAGAGGAGAGTGAAAAAGCTGTTCACTCCTCAGAGCCAACAGCAGTCCTTTCCCCAGCTTTGCTCTCTTGTCTCCATGTCCCGGCTGTCAGCCCCTGCGCACACTGATGGGGACGCGTCCCAGTCTGGGTGCACAGGGCTGTAGCCCCAGCCGTCTGTGTGGTCTCTGTCCGTCTGCCACAGGCCAGCTGTCTCCCCCTTCTCCACACCTCGGATGCTCCACCTGTGTCTGTTGTCCTGTCAGTTACGGGGCATCCCCAGATGAGACTTCTGCCCATCTTCACCTCCCCACCAGGGCACAGGTCCTGTCCCATGTCCTCTCCTCTTTTTCCCATCTTTTTTCATCTTACCTGGTAACGCAGTGATCCCTCTTGTCCTTTCCAGTATCCAAGGTCTTCTGCTAGTGATCAGCTGGTGCTCTACCTGTACATGTAGATAACTGATCCACCTGTTGATGTATTCTTGATTGTTTGTGGAGCAAAATGAGCTCCAGGTAGAACTCCTTCACCACCTTGGAAACTTCTTTTTATTTCTCTCGAACTTATTTTTCAACCCAGTAGGACATATTTGTAGTCTTCAGGGAGTTGCAATGGAGGAAATAAGCACAAGTGTGAAAGTAAAGGACTGGTCAGTACAGCATGTTGAGTGCTGTGTGGAAAATGCTCCCCGAGAGCAAGATTATTGAGAATGAATTGGTTATATGTTAGTGGATAGCTTCAAGGAGGAGGTGAACTTAAACTGGAAATGGTCGTTGAAAATTGAATGGGGTTTAACACAGCTTATGTGTCCTTTCTGGATGCTCTAACAAGGTATTTGTTATGGACACTTATCATATTTATCTGCTAAGCAAGGGAAGTGTCCTAGAATTCTTCAGGATAGAGTCACTGCAAAAAAAAAGAGAAAAAGGTCAGATTCTCTAAATTAGTTCATTATATTCCTGTCATATCTTTGATATTAAGTGACTTAGTTTATCATATTCTAGGATTTATCTTTGTGATTACGGTTATTTGTGGTTCAAGGTATTATATACCGTAAGCTTTCTCAGTTGTAGGCATGGCATTACTCCTCTACTTTTGAAAAAAATATTTATGTGTATCTGTGTATCTTAAGTGTGTTGGTGAGATGATCATTCTTTTAGATTTCTAGTTATATTGGGCAGTTGAAATGACGTTTCTTTTTCTAGTTGTGCCTAGACTCTTTGATAGCTTTGATTGTCTTTTAGGAAAAGCTCTATTTTGTTATTTATGGTTTTTATAGAAACATTTAAAGTGTATTGCCCCTGAAAACCTCTCTCTGTTGCAGTGTTTGAATAAACTGATTTGTGTTTTCTTTGTTACTCTCAAGTATGAATCCAAAGACTGGTCTATAATGAATTTTCTGAAGTGATCACTAAAGATTGTATGTAAGAGAGACTTTTAATACCAGTTTTCTTAAATAGAATATTTCTGTGATGCTAGAAACTTTTAAGAAGTTTCTGTTGTTTAGAGTAGTGTTTTATGCATATGAAAACAATGCATTTTTGCTGTATCTTTGAAAGTTAAATTTGATGCTTTTTGAAACAAAATACTAAATTTGAATTGAAAACACAGCGTAAACATTTCCCCTCCAATATATAGAATGTTTCTATACTATCTTATGAATTGTCAGATGTTTCATAAAATAAATTTTGAAGAATCCCTGACTAATGAAGATTGATTGCTTTTTAATTAAGAAGTATTTAGTTTGAATAGAATGTAATTAATAGATTAATTTTTATTGATAGGCTGTTACTTCATTTTTCTCCTGTTGAAGCATTTTGTTGGTTTTTTTGTAAAAAAAAATTAATATATTGACAGAATTGTTTTGAAATTTATTATTTTATGGTACATATTTCTGTGCCTTATTGTATATTTATAACCTGCCTTGAGGCAACTTTTTCATAAATAAATTATTATAAGGAATCATAGTTCACAGTTGAGTCAGAATGTAAGTTTGGTTTCTTTGTACTTTCTTTGAACTAAGTCTTAGAGTTTCTTTAAAATGAGGTCTTCTAAAGCTGTGTGGCTATTTTGTACTCCAAGGGTTATCAAACTATTCCTTGTTCTAAAGAAAGTTTTTAAATCTTTAAAGGAAATTTTCTGTAGACTTGAGCTTACTGCTAAAACAATGTTACACAAGTCTGTAGCTTCAGTTAAGTTTTACAACTTCAGAGACCATTTTTTTTCTTGAGAATTTTGTGATCTTGTTCCATTTTTTGAAAGCACTTTATTTGTTGGAATGTGTGAAATAAAAATATCTTTGCAAAGATATCTTTGCTTTATTTTTTTGATTTTGCATCAGTTAACTCTTTAACAAGCTATCCCACAATTCATCGGCTTGAAAAATTAAGAGTTTATTATCTCACAGACCAGGGATACTTTACCTGGGTCCTCTCCATCAAGGTTTCTCACAAGATTGCAAAGTATAAGCTGAGGCTGTGGCTTCGTCTCAGGGCACAGCTTGGGGAGGGTCCAGTTCACAGCTACCTCACATGGTTCTTGGTGGAGTTCAGTTCCTTGTGGGCTCTTGGACTGAGGGCCTCAGTTCCTCACTCCCTGAGGCTTCCCTCAGTCACTTATCCCACTGGCCTCTGTGTAGGGCAGCTTACCACAAGACAGCTAGTCTCCATCGGAGGCAGCCAGAGAGGGCAGAGTGGAGTGGGCAAGACACAGCCAGGGTCCTTTCGTAACCTATTTCGGGACTGATGGGTATCACTTTCCCAAATGTTAGGCCACAAAGTGAGCCAGAGGTCCTGTCCACACTCAAGGGAATGGACGGACCCATATAGCCTCAGGAGGTGGGGTCATTGGGGACCATCTTAGAGGCAGCCTGCCTTGAGTTCTGAAAGTTTTACTTGGTCTGTGTTTGCTAGCTAACCTTCATGCACAGAAGTTCCTGTTACACCTTCCTGTCTCCTCCCTCCACACGTGCAGAGAGACACGTGGAAGAACGCACATACTCTGATGATGGTTTCACACTATACTCCTGTACCCCTGACCAGCTCCTGGGGCAGCCTGGGTTTCACACTTGGAGTTCATCTTCTCTGGTCATGTTTATCAAGAAGGCAATAGTAAATATTTATTGAGTATTTTAGTTAATAATTGTTGAAGAAATGAATACCTATGTGAGGTGGTCATTTTGATTAATTCTACTTGGACAGTTTTATAAAGGAAGTGACTGAGCTGCATTTTATCAGAGGACAAGTAAAGATTTTACTGGCAGAGGTAACAAGTTCAGTCTCCAGAAGTTAAAAAAAAAAAGCAAAACTACATGGTATGTTCTGGGAATGGTGAGAAGTTAGTAAGAATGTGATGAAGAGTCTTTTGAGTGGGTTGTAATGCTGGAGAGTAAGTGGGAGGGGTTTGTTTCTCGTGTTAAGGTTTTAGGCCTAACCGAGTTAGTGAAGCCCTTTACAGGGCAGAAGGACTTTACTCGTTAGTGTTCTAGGCAGGTGCACTTTTGAGTCTTCCGATGAAAAAGGAGTAGCAGTGAGAACCTAAAGGCCACCTTAATCATGAAAGACTGTGAGGCTGCATTAAAGCAGTGACAGGAGTTTTGGAGAGAATAGTCTAAATATGTGACCTTTTTGAAGATTAGATGTATTAGACTCCCAGCTGTCCCCCAAAGAGCCTCTTTTTCTTCCATAATCATGTTTTTTTTTTCTGGGAATAAAGGCTATATTTACTAATCAGTTATATAATCCTCCTTTAATATTGAAGGAACATGCCTGTTGATTTTCTCTTCTGCCTCTTATTGGCTGGACTGAAGACCTGGTGTTCCATCTGAGGACAGCAGCAAGAAGGAGTGGGTCTCAGGGCTCCATAGGGCAGAGCCTCCAGTTTTGCTTTCTGTGGGAGAGAGCTAACTTCATCTGGGTTAGGCCACTGTTATTTTGGCTTTCTATTACAGGGAGCCAAAGTTCCCAAGTAATTTAGGTCAGATATAAGATAACAGAAGTATGTAGGAATAAAACAGTACTGAAATGCTAGACAGCTAGTTTAGAGGACCTGGTTAAGTCTTGAATGGGAAAATAATTTGTTTCTTTTGGAGTGGGCTGATTTGAGATGGCTTATATTTTCCCTCTCTTCTTATTTCCCGTGCATCCAGCTTTCATTTTGCTGTCTTCACCGCCCACTGTCTTCTACAGCTTCTTGTGCAGCTTCTACAGTCAGGCTCCTATTAACATCTTGGGTTCCTTCTACCCTCTCTTAATTTTAACTTTTACGCAGATGACCACCTATGACTCTCCTCACTATCTGCATTTTCTTTATCTGCTTTGAAGATGGAACAGTTGAAAACCTGGGTTATTGGCTCTCTGCCTTTATTTTCTTACATCACTGGAGCATAGTTCTGAATACAGTTAACTCTTGGACAGTGCAGGGGTTAGGGGCACCGACTCTCCGCTCAGTCAGAAGTCTGCGTGTGGTTTATAGTCAGCCCTCCATGTATACAGTTCCTCCATAAACAGAGATAATGCAGCACTGGAGTACTTACTGTGGGACACAGTCACCTGCGTTCAGGTGGACCCACACATTCCACACCTGTGTTGTTCAGAGGCCAACTGTGTATCATTTCCCTTAGGACCATGGAAACAAAGACTTGAGTCTGGCATAGCTCCTGATTTCTAGTGACGTATTTCCAGCTCACGGTATTTCTGTTATACTACTGTTTAAAATGTTTATTTCTAAAGAAAATTTTTTGACAGAAGTCATTTATGTATCTGGCTATGTGTGTCATATACTTCTCTACATTTCAGCCTAAAGCACCAAAGGGAAAAAGTGTAGGACAAGAAAAAAAAATCATCCATCCATATAGTAGAAAAGCAGCTCAAATTACAAGAGAGGCCCACAAACAAGAAAAAAAGGAAAAGTAAGTATCTTCATTGTATGTTTTATGTATTGGTTAAAAAGTCTTTTATACATTTATTCCTAATCAGTATTCCCTCTCTTCCTTTGATAAATATTCAGGTATGTTCTGTGCACTAAGGTAAAGCAGTGAACAAGGATTCAGCACTTAGAACTTAACCTAAAACATATATAAATAGGTTGTGATGACTGCCATGAAGAAAAATTTTAAAAGATTATGGGATGGAGAGTGTGAGGTAGAGAGTCTGTTTGACATAGGATAGTCATGGAAAGTTTCTCTGAAGACGTTACATTTGAGCAGTGAGCCATGCAGACATTTATTAGGCATTTAGGTGGAAGTACCTATTAGATTTGATCTCTGGTTCCTCTGCCTTTTCTGAAACCAGCTTGAACATCTGGAAGTTCACGGTTCACATATTGCTGAAGCTTGGCTTGGAGAATTTTGAGCATTACTAGCGTGTGAGATGAGTGCAATTGTGCAGTAGTTTGAGCATTCTTTGGCATTGCCTTTTTCTGGGATTGGAATGAAAACTGACCTTTTCAGTCCTGTGGCCATTGCTGAGTTTTCCAAATTTGCTGGCATATTGCATGCAGCACTTTCACAGCAGCATCTTTTAGGATTTGAAATAGCTCAAATGGAATTCCATCATCTCCACTAGCTTTGTTCATAGTGATCCTTTCTAAGGCCCACTTAACTTCACATTCCAGGATGTCTGGCTCTAGGTGAGTGCTCACACCATCGTGATTATCTGGACCATGAAGATCTTTTTTGTACAGTTCTTCTGTGTATTCTTCATTCCTTTGAGTACTGAACTTTCACATTTATGAGAGTCCTCTATAGATATCTCTAGAAACTAAAACCTCGATTTTTTGCCCATAAATTACTGTATTATAGTGACATGAAAAAGAGAGATTTTTGATGTTGCAACAGTATCACAGAATATTACATTGAAATAAATGAACATTTCTGCTGGGCTGAGAATACTATAAAATTAAAATGC